TGAATTACAAAGTAAAAGCGCTGGCTGTTACGAGGAGAATAAAGTACAGAGTTCAGAGGGAAGACAGAAGTAGATCAGGAGGCCATGGTTATGAACTCTCCCGGAGAGGACGGTAGCTTGAACCACCATTATGAGCTGATGGCAGCTGAGTGGTGAGAAGTGGTCATTTTCTGAGTACATTTGATAGACAGGACCAGCTGGACCTCTTTATGAATCACTTGTACAGCAGGAGTGGAAGGCAGCATCATGCCTGTGAAATCCCTCGCAGAGCATTAGAAGAACTGAATGACCTTAATATAGAGAGAAACAGAGAGGGACACAGTCTGGGGGAAGAAGATTATAATGTTTTATACTCGTTATATCTGAGCTTCTTAGCAGAAAACAATGTGTACACCTCTAAACACACTTGTGTGTATTACTCTAGAAGAACTTCTTTGTGCCTTGTATTTATTTCTTGTGGATATTTTTCCTTACCAGGTTGCTTTATGTGACAGGGGAATTTTGTACGGATTCGTTTTGTGTTGCCTTTAAAACCCCTCTCTGATACCACCTTCACCCCAGCTTTGTACACATCTTGTAATATGTCTTTGCCTTTGAATGGGGAAGTTCATGAATACATGGCAGTTACTTCCTTGGGAAAGCCAGTGGGATAGTCACCCTGAGCTTGTGTGAAATCCTCTTGGCATTATATTAGTTTCTGTTTCAGCTATTTGGAGTGGGCTCTTGCTGTTGGCTTTGGGGGGTGAGCTGCGAGAGCCACCCTTAGAGTCCATGGACATCCTTGACCACTGCCAGTTAGTGAATAGAGATTTACTTTACCAGGCAAGGAACTCCATTCTGCAAATAGTCTGGTTAGCACACTAATGCAAATACCATCTGGCTAGCACCTTGACTTCAGCCTTGGGAGACCCTGATTTGAGAGCCCAGCAAAGCCATTCCCAGCCCACAGGACCTGCATGATGGAGAGTGGGAATTCTTAATTGCTGAACCATGGTGATTCATTATGCAGTATTAGAAAATCAGAAATACAGGTAGCACTGTGACAGGGCAAGACGGTTCCTCTATCTTATATTCTTGTGACCATGTCAAGTTTAGCTAGAATTTGATCTCCTTGATGAGAATTCCATGGAAAACTACTCAACTCTATTCTAGGAACCATAGGTCAAGATGCCCCAGCTAATGTATCTTAGCTTATGTTAAACTGCCTGTTGGTGTGAAACCCCCATAAGCTAACTGCTTATCTTGGTTTCTGTCAAACTGCTTGCTTGCTTCTCTAAGACCTCCCTGCAGCTGCTGAGCAAAATGTCAGGGCATGGTTTCTGCCCTCAAAAATCTTGTGCTCTGGGCATTCAAGGCCTAGGACCCCAAATAATTGATGGTAGTCCCAGACTGATGGAATAAAGACTTTCAGTTGTTTATAAGTTGTGTTTGAGTGGGATACTGATAACAACATCCCTGCCAACATCTTTAGAAGCAAATGTGGCTTCTAAAGCCACATATAATGGCCAATAAAATATAAAACCTACCCCCAAAATCTATCAACATGAGTGTTTTTATACTACTATAGATCAATAAATAAATAAAGTCATGTATATTGGCATTTTTTCAGGTGTTTTCAAGGATGATAGAGTCTTGAAACAGAAAAAAAAACAGTGATCACCATAAGTGGCAAATTTAAAGTTCAATTTTTTTGCTTCATAACTATTTTTTATAGCATTCTGTGATGGCTTCCAATAAATATGGCCTTAAATACATGCATGCTTTTAAGACCAACAGGCAGCACTGCTGAGAGTCAAGGCACTAGGCATACAGATGGCAGATGATCTCTGAGCTCACTTGATAGCTCTCCACTAGGAGGAAACTCTACAAAGAGAACACCCAGGAGGGGAACAACTGAGAATACTTGCCCCACAGCCCTACCAGCAGGTACCTCTCTGCACCTGGGGTGAGGTTTACTCACCTTACAGCCATCCTTTGTAGCTTCTTCCATCAGAAGAAAAAACAATAGTTACAAAACTGAGATTTAAAAACAAGGACCATTCGCTTCCTGTATATGTGTGGGAGGAGTTTGTAGGAACCCCAGAAATCATCATATGGTAGGAATGACATGGGGAACAGAAAGTCAGATTGCTTTTATACCTTATAAGCAAGGCAAAGTTTGATGAAGTGAATTATTTTTTAAAAGAATCAGGAACTCTAGTTCCAGGGTTTCCTATGTCTTCTTCTAACCTCCACAGGTACCAGATGTGTACCAGGTGTCCCATGCCCCCCCCCACACAAGCAAAACACTCATATACATTAAACAAGTAAATCTAGAAACCTATTTGAGGTGCATATTAGCATGTCAAAGCTAACACTGGCTGCCAGGTTCTGCCAGCATCCCTAGGTCCCTACCTGTTACAGGGGTGGAGGGGTGGGGGGTGTTCTCCTGGCTAACATACCCTGCCTCCTTCCCTGAACTCTCCAGCCCAGGGTCTGGGCTGCTCTTTCCCTAGTGCTCTTCCTTAGGTAACCCAGCTATTTTGGCTATGCGGGTTCTTTGCACCGCCTCTGTTCTCTTGGCCAGACACTTGGCCCAGGCTGGTCCTCTTGGTTGGTAGCTCCTCTCTTGCTCTCTTTCCTCCTCTCTCCTCACATGACTTCCCTCAGTCCAGCCATGTTCACTCTGGACTCTCCCAGACATCTCTGTCTCTGCCCTTCTGTATTCTCCCTCATATCTACAATAAACCTCCTCCTGCGTAACCAAGAGCAGTCATGTCCTCCTCTTTATTTTTTTCATTCAATATTACTGATATATTAGCAAAACATTGAACTCTAAGGTCTACCATAAACATATTAGATAAACAAAGCAAGGCTCACTCCTTCATACAATGTTCATACTTGGCAGCATCAGTCACATAATGTTGAGGGCAAAAAGCCACGGGTGAATACACATAGTATTAGTCAATTTGAAGTTCAGAGAGATAAAAATACAAGACATGGCTGGTAGAACTTTAGATGTGTATAACAAACCCATACAGGACAGCAAAGCAATGCCAAATTAAAATTCTGGATACTGGTTACCTATGGGGGTGGTGAGTAAGGAGATAGGATAAGGGAAAATCAATACAAAGTAATGACCTTTTCTAAATCTGGGAGTAGGCATATGGGTGTATACTTGCTCTCTTACACCTTTACAGATAGTCTGCTAAGTTAGGGAAAAAGACAATGGCTTAAATTGTTGTTTTTCTTTTTTCTTTTTTTCTTCCAGAATCTGACCTCCATCTCCTAAGCTAATCGTTGAACGGTAACAATTCATACTCAATTTAGTGCTCTGATCTCTCCCACAGCACATTAAACATATCAACTTTGTAACAACTGGTAATTATGATTTTCTGCATAACCAAACTCCTTGGGTTGTTCATTTATTATTAGTGGTAATCATAGAATACTGAGAACTTTTCTTCATACAATTACATGCACAGAAATATTTCCTTAGTATTCCCTCTTTCTTAGCTCAAGAAAGAGAGACACAGCAAGAGACAGAACTTACATACAGCACTCTCGGCTCCAAGCACAGTGCTACAGTACATAAATACTGTAGCAAATATCTTCACTCCAACAGTCACACAGCCCAGGTACTCTGCCTCACAAGAGAATGGAAGACACTTGGAGCTCTGTGCTTTCCCAAATTCAAATACAGTATCTCAGGTCGACAGAGAGCTGGAAGGTGGTGACCACTAGGACAGCTAATGGTACCCAAACCAGATTGGGAGTTCATCAGAGTTTCCAAGGTGGGAGCATCGAAGCCAGGAGGACGAGGACATGTATTGGGGGAGGGGAGACAATTGGTCTAAGAGCTGCAGAAAGGGAGATTTAATATCTCCCTGAAGAGTTATACAAAAGTAATCTGATGGCAGTTACTAATCAGATTAAGATTCTTGCTTCCATGACGTCTCTGGGTCCTCATAACAGCTATGTGGGGTCTGAGAGACAGTAGAGTTGTATCCTCACATATCTAAGCACGAATCAGTTCTCAGTGTCTATGAAATGTGTCAAATAGTTTTTGACGTGTTAGGAATTGCGTGCCCCTTCATTACTAGTAATCTACCCTCTATTCAACAGCCAGTGTGGTGTTCACTTATACCATGCCAGCACTGCACAAGCGAGGCAGGAGAAGTATGGAAAACCAAGACCCTGTTGCAGAAATGTAAGTAAATTAATTAGATTAAAATTTAAAAATACAACTCCTGTATCTTGCACTTAAACCTCAGCTATTGGGTAAATCTCAAATCGGTTTAAAATAGCTATCTAAGGCTTTTGGTGATACATTCTTCACTTCCTACTCTGGCACTCTGACGCATTAAACTAATCCTAGTTCCCTCAACTCCCCATGCTCACACGGCTTTTCGCACAACATGTATTTCCTCACCTTTCTTCAAAACTCCACTCCTTCAGAGTTTAACCTGGTCTGCAATGGAAAGCTTTAATACATCCCTCTCCATGTATGCGCCCATATATTTATCTGCATCTAACAACTCAGAGGCGTTTTATAAGCTTATGTGAATTTACCCACATGATGTTTCTAAACCACCTTACAACACAAGCTTTAAAACTGTTTTTATACACTCTGCATGCCAGGATAATGTGCTTATATAATTTGCATTAAACAATAACAACAACCCATTTTTCTGTTTATTGGGGGCAATTTTTTAAATATGATAGTGACTGACCAACAAGCATGCCATGCATGCATTTTTACTATTATTCCACAGTTTAGTCTAAAGTCTGCCCAATTGTGAAAGAGTGTCAGACCGAGGATAGTCACCTGTGCACAAGTCTGTGCAGGCCCAGGCAGTAGGCAGTCTACGGTAGGCAACACTGGGAACCAGATCACAGTGTGTGCAGACGGGTCAGTTATCTTGGTTACTGTGGCTCTGCATGACATCCCTTCTCCACCTCAACCAGAAAAAAACCCGTCAACACTGTGACAAAAGCACCTCACAGAGGCTTCCTCTTACCTCAGCATCAAAGCGTGGGTCCTGGTAGGCGTCACTGACATTTACGGGCAGGCCTGTCGAAGCCACCAGCTCAGCGATGCTGTTATTTATCAGCCAGTCAGAATAGGATGATTTCTCCATGCTTTCTCTGAAACTGCCGGAGCACCGAGCCAGCAATAAGAAAGAAGAGAAACTAAGTTTGTTGGAGAGTAAGCTCTGCCAGACTTCATCAATAGCTATGTTTCCTGTCCTCATTACTGAGGGACAAATGGTATTCGTGGAAGAATGACAGGGAGGTAATTACCAGAAGCCACTTTGAAACTATTTCCCCACTAGAATTGAAGGTAATCAGACCATGGATAGAAACACAGATCCTCTACAGGCCAGAGAGTGACTCTAGGCTGTGTTTAAGCCTCAGGGTAGACAGATTAAAAGTACACAACCAGGTAAAGACTGAAACCGACAACAGGTCACCAACACATGGCCTCATACATTTCCACTGGGTTCCTCTGCTTGACCCTCCCCCTCGCCCTTTTCACCCCTCCCCCGGCTGAACATCCTAGATGTTTGGTACCAAGAATGGGGAGAACTGGGAAATAAAAGTTGGACATTTTGGTGAATGGAACACAAGGCTTTGTGCAGGCTAGTGATAACATAGCCCTCCTAATGACATTTCTAGTCTAAGCCACATTTTATGTAAGAAAATACTAAGGTATTGCTATACACTGTACACATTTGCGCATAGTTGCTATTATCATACTGTGTGTACCTGTTTGGAGTCCACGGCAGGCTATATTTGTGATGTTACTCATCTCTTATTGCATATGAAGTACAGAGTGCACAAGCTTACTCTCTGTGGATCTCTAGCTACAGATGCAAGTTTCAGTAAGAGGTTCTGGTTTATAGCTATTAAATAGTGTGTGAATCAAAGAACTTCAAAGAAAAGGCATTTTGTTTTCTAACACTTGAGTCCTGTGGTCTGTTTTTCCCCCTGCTTCTTTGTATTTATGACAGATGAACTTTACATTATGTTTTAATGAAAGCAGCGTACAGGAAGAAACATGGTAAAATGTATCTGGCATGTGGATCTAGGCTAACAAGGTCATTTCTAAATTTATAAAGATGTGTGGACTGAATTCTTGATGCTCTTTTGAAGAGCAATGACTTGCTAATACTTTCTCTGTTGTCTGTATACCATACTTTATAATACTTTCATTATGTGCGTGTGCGTGTGTGTATGTATGTATGTGTGTGTGTGTGTGTGTGTGTGTGTGTGTGTGTGTGTGTGTGTGTGTGTAGGCACGGGGGTGATGTCAGGTGTTTTCATCGATCACTCCTCATTTCATTTCTGAGAGTCTCTCATTCTCGCTGATTTAGTTAGGCTGGCTGGCCAGTGATATTGAGGGACCCACCTACCTCTGTCTCCTAGTTCAGTTACAGATGACTCTGTCAGGCCCCATTTTAACATATGTGCTGGGGTATGAACTCAGGTCCTCATGCTTGCCATGACAGGCACTCTGCCAACCAAATCATCCCTCCAGCTCCACAGAGTGTAATTTTAGAAGTGTTTCCTGGTTAACTAGTTTGGGAAGTGCTGGCCTATTACGTGCTGTAGACTGGGGGAAAGGGCTCCAGGGGGACCTTAGAAAGACCTGAGTGAGAAGTCAGGGAGGAACCCCAGATGAGGAAGAGTAGGGACAGGGAGCGAGCATTAGCCACTTCGTTAAAAAGAGTCTTTCCAGATGGGCATAAATCCACAGGAGAGATTGGAGGTGTGAGGAGGAAACATCAGGAATTAAGGACAAACACAGAAAAATGAGCAATCAGATAGTGAGGAGTAAGACTATATGAAGGCCAGGGCCCAAGAATTGAGATGTTGATAGAGTTGCGGGGACCTTTGCTAAAGGCAGTAAAGAACTGCTTAACAAGATGGAAAAGAGCTGGGCAGTGGTGGCGCTCGCCTTTAATCCCAGCACTTGGGAGGCAGAGGCAGGTGGGTCTTTGTGAATATGAGGTCATCTGGTCTACAAAGCGAGTTCCAGGACAGCCAAAGCTGTTACATAGAGAAACCTTGTCTTGAAAAACCAAAATGAATGAGTGAGTGAATGAATGAATGGACAAACTGTGAGGAGCCGCCCTCGCTATCGCTATTGCCGTTAGAAGATGGCGCTGACATCTGCTGTCAGTTGGAGTTAACCGTTTAAGCTGTGCCTCTCCCGTGGCGTCATCTGGGGTGATGTGCAAACCACCAATCCCGGCTCTACACGTCTCACTCGGAGCTCCTAGGCTTATATAAGGGGCTGGGTTTCTTAGCTTGGGGTCTCCCTCTAAGAAGCTGATCATCTATCTCTCAAGATGCATTAAAGCTTTACTGCAGAAGGATCCGAGTGTTCTGCGTCGTTCTTGCTGGCGAGACGGTAGCGCGGGACATCTGGTGCCGAAACCCGGGAACTCTTCAACATCGCCGGCGCCGCGGGAGACCCCTCGGAAGACGGGGCAGATTCAGAACTGCAGGGACGTAAGTTCAGAGAGGTATGCTTTATCCTGAACACCCCCTTTCTCGACTTTGACCTTAGTTTGTCATCACCGTGGGACGGGTCAGTGGAGGCTTTGGTGCTAGTCCTGTTTGTCCTTCTCCTTCATCGTGGCTGGTGCTGACAGAACGGTGCTGTCAGTCTGGTGCTGTCAGTCTGGTGCTGTCAGTCTGGTGCTGTCAGTCTGGTAACGGAGTTGAGCGCCGTTTTTAGATAAGCCGCTAGCGCGATGGGGTTGTCACAGTCAGTGGTTACTGCCCTACAGACTGTGCTAAAACAAAGAGATCTTAAAATTGCACCACGAACACTTCAAAATTTTGTGAAGGAGGTAGATAGAGTGGCACCATGGTATGCTTGTTCCGGGTCCCTCACTGTGGCCTCATGGAACAAGCTAGGTAAAGAACTAGACAGGAAGCATGCAGAAGGAGATCTCCACTTAGGTACCAAAGCCATTTGGAAGCTAGTTAAAAACTGCTTGGAGGATGAGGCCTGTCACCCTGCTATAATAGAAAGTCAGGGAACCTTAGAGGAAGTTCAGGATAGCATGTCAGAAACTGAACAGAGTGAGAGAATGGGAGCTCGCAAAAGGAAAGACATGTCTAAGAAAAAGGCCCTCCCCAAGAAGTTAAGAAAGGGGGAGAGAAAGAAGGGAGTGATCATTCACCCCCTAACAAATCTAAGAAAAAGAAAAAGCCAGAATCTAGGCTATACCCTACAGTAGAGCTAGAAGCCTTGGAGCTAGATAATTCTGATTCTGACACTCTGTATTCTAGCGAAGAAGGTGGTCTAGAGGAGGAGGTGGCACGGTATGAGGAAGAAAGATATCACCCTGATAGACACCGGCCACTGAAAACAAAAATGAATGTGAGGCCACCGCCTATAAATCCGGCGGGCTCACGCTCCTCAGCGCCTCCGCAGTATGAGCTTCGGCTGAATACTGGTACTGACTCCTTTTTACCTTTAGAGGAACGGAGAAAAATACAAATGGCTTTTCCAGTATTCGAGAATGCGGAAGGCGGAAGAGTACATACCCCTGTAGATTACAATCAAATCAAAGAATTGGCCGAATCCGTTAGTAATTATGGGGTCAATGCTAACTTTACCACATTACAGGTGGAAAGGCTTGCTAATTTTGCCATGACTCCCACTGACTGGCAGACGACAGTGAAAGCAGTGCTTCCCAACATGGGACAATACATGGAATGGAAGGCTCTCTGGTATGATGCAGCCCAGGCACAAGCTAGAGTTAATGCCACGGCTGAAGATGAGAATCAGAGGCAGTGGACATTTGAAATGCTGACAGGTCAGGGTCAACATGCCCTTAATCAAACCAACTACATCTGGGGTGTCTATGGTCAGGTGTCGGCCGCCGCTATTAAAGCATGGAAGGCCCTCACAAAAAGGGGAGAGTCCAGTGGACACCTTACAAAGATTGTCCAAGGACCCCAAGAGCCATTTTCAGACTTTGTGGCCAGAATGACAGAGGCCGCCAGTCGCATCTTTGGTGATTCAGAACAAGCTATGCCCCTGATTGAGCAACTTGTCTATGAACAAGCAACCCAGGAATGTCGAGCGGCTATCGCCCTCGCAAAAGCAAAGGTTTACAAGATTGGCTCAGAGTGTGCAGGGAGCTGGGGGACCCCTAACCAATGCAGGACTAGCTGCCGCCATTTTACAAACGCACAGGTATAGAGATTTATCTAGTCGAAAAGCTTGTTTTAATTGTGGGAAAATGGGGCACCTTAAGAAAGATTGTCAAGCCCCTGAAAGAACAAGAGAATCGAAGCTTTGCCATCGTTGTGGTAAAGGTTATCATAGGGCTAGCGAATGCAGGTCAGTCCGGGATGTAAAAGGGAGGCTTCTGCCCCCTATTGAAGAACCCAAGGTACCCCAATCAAAACACGGGTCACGGGGCCCATGGTCCCAGGGCCCTCAGAAATATGGGAACCAATTTCAGAAAAGCAATCAAGAGGAAGTAGAGGCTTCCGAGGAACCCCCGGAATGGACTTGCGTGCCGCCTCCGACTTCTTACTCATGCCCCAAATGAATGTTCAACCGGTCCCAGTCCATTCCCCTGGACCTTTGCCCCCTGCCACCATTGGGCTTATTCTGGGCCGTGGCTCCTTAACTTTACAGGGACTCATTATATATCCTGGAATTGTTGACCCGTATCATAAAGAGGAGATTCAAGTTCTCTGTTCTAGCCCTCGGGGTGTATTTTCTATAAAGCAGGGAGATAGAATTGCACAACTGGTGTTGCTGCCCTCCCTCGGGGATGGAGAAACCTACACTTTACAAAAAAGGGCTATGGGATCTTCTGGAAGTGATTCAGCCTATCTGGCTATACCCCTAAATGAGAGACCTACAATAAAATTGTTAATTAATGGAAAAGAATTTGAAGGGATAATGGATACGGGAGCAGACAAAAGCATTATTTCACTCCATTGGTGGCCGAAGTCTTGGCCCACTGTTGTTTCATCTCATTCTCTACAAGGTCTTGGATACCAGTCCTCTCCTGCCATCAGTGCCTCAGCCTTAACCTGGCGGAATGCTGAGGGCAAACAGGGATGTTTTACCCCCTATGTGTTGCCACTCCCTGTAAATTTATGGGGACGGGATG